GGGCCTCTACTCACCACATGCACAAAAGACAAAAACTTATGGCGGCGTATTATTCCACGTTCTAGCAGAAGATTCATTCTAATTCTGCACATTTGGTGAGTACTGCAGCCAAGCCCTGATAATCACGTGCAGAGACCAACAGGCCTAGCGAAGTGAGAAACCCGTAACTGCTGAAACACAGACCTGAATATGAATCGTGAGTATATAGTCAGCCAGCTCGTGCCAGTTCGTATTCACTGCCTACGTCGATTTTGGTGGAGGGTCCTTGCTAAATTGCTCCGAGGACCCTTCAGATTACCGGCATGGGCCTTCTGATTCGTGTGAAGGGGATCCTTTGTTCTCTCTCTCTCTCTCTCTCTCTCTCTCTCTCTCTCTCTCTCTCTCTCTCTCTCTCTCTCTCTCTCTCTCTGTGTGTGTCTGTGTGTGTCTGTGTGTGTGTGTGTGTGTACACACACATCGCTAAAAATAAAAATAAAAAAAATTCAGCGCATCACTAATCTGCACACGGCGCACCGCAGAAGTGCGCCACAAGTATGTGATAGACTGTTCATTGGACTCTCTGTGACTCATCAGGAGGCTGAACCCTTAACAGTCCCCAGAATCCATATGTTGATATTTTGACTTTCACTCTTTCTTGTGCAATGAACTTGTGAATTCAGCCCAACTCGCGACATGCAAGAAGAGAACAATTAGATGAGAATTCACATCACAACGGAGAGTTGACACATGAATCAATGCCAAATGAATTTGCACTGAAAAATATAGTATGGTACAATTGGAGAGTTCAAGTACCCAGCGGCCTCAGCCGTGATCCAATACCCGATACAGGTATGAACTCGACTCCCCCTCCCTCAGAGTTTGACTCTCTCTCTTTCTGTCTCTCACTGTCTCTCTGTTCTCTTGCTCTCCAGTCTTGTATTGCTCAACCTCCATGATGCTCTCATGCTCTCCCTCTCCCTACTTGGATCTACCCTGAATACAACTGTGATGTGTCACTCCGAACATCGGTGGCTATGGCTGCTGTCTTCCCTATCTCTATGCCTAGCTATGGTTGACTACTCTTCGCCGTGGCGCTGGCTTCTCTCTCAGCGCCTCCCTCTGTCAAAGCCACACAATCGCACAAGCATCCAGCAGCGCTTCCGCAACTTTGTGAATGAACAATCTGATGGTCTTGGCACTGTAGCAGCTATTAATAGTTGCAGTTGACTGACTGTGCCTGCTTCGGCCAGGTACCGGTCGCCCGCAGCCTCTGCTGCATATTTCTGGTGTTCCGGAAGTCTTCGGACTTTCCTGGGACGCTGTTGCAAAATTGGACTTCGGGACTTGATTTCCTCTATTGGTACCTGTGGACTTTTACCGACCCGCGAAGCTTCGGTACCCGACCTCTACTGGCCTGCGACGTTTTGACCTACGGGCGTTAGGACTAGACCTATTGGGACAGCCTGGGACTGGGACCAATTAGGAGTCTAGGACCGGGACTTGGAGCGGACAGCGTGAAATCCTTTCAGTCCTACCGACCTAATTTCAATGTCCTCCAAGAAAGATCTAATCTTTACCTGTCTACAATGTTAATATCTCTCCTAGCATGCTCACAATAAGATACTATGAGAGGTGCTGTTTCCACTGGCTCATCTTTTGTGTACCAACGGTCATCTTCGGGTTCTGGATAGGTGAACCTGATGTTACACTGCCGCTAGGGCGTACCCCTTTTCCCTGTTCTATACACAGCCTTGTCTAGAATGCGATCGATGCCATATCCCCCATCCATGTCAGGAGGGATCATTGATCTGTGTGAAGGGAATTGGTCATTGATGATGCAGGGAAGCAACTTCGATGCGTGGAAAACCGGGTATGTGTGTAGATGGGGTGGTATGTCAACAATATAGTAGGGACCGTCCGTGTCTTCAATGACATCTAAAATTTCCCATGGTCCTCTGTATGCAGGTAATAACTTTTGAGAAATGTTCTCCTCAGAATGAATTCCTTTGACTTGACCCAGGCAAGGTCGCCGACAGTGAACATTGAAGTCCTACGATGCTTGTTGGTCTGTTCTATCATCCGATTTCTGGGCCTTCCAGATGTTCTCAGCTACCCGCCGCAGTTGCCCCTCATAATGGACTGCAAATTCTCCGGTGCTCGGGGACAGTCTCTGAATCTGATCAGGATTCAGGCAGTTTATTTGGCGTCTGGGACGCCACCCCGTATGCAACTCATTAGGAGTTCTGTTAGTCGCTAGATGTACGGAGTTGTTGGATGCACTGGCCATCTTAGGTAGATGTTCGTCCCAATGTACCTCATCTGGTCTGATGTACATGCGAAGCACTTGCTGTAGCAGTTTGTTCATCTGCTCGATCTGTCCGCTAGTCTCGGGGTGTGTGCCTGATGACATAGTGAGTTTAGGCGTGTAGACTTTCACTAGTTGTTGCCAATGCTCGCTTGTGAACCTAGTATCTTAACCCAATGAGTAAATAGTTCACACATTACTAAATTTGTCTTTCCCGCAGCAGGCAGCGGAAAAGAACCATTACTTGATTCTTGCCACTCCTACTTCTGACCTTAGTATCCATGATTCATATCATTCCTACTTCTGACCTTAGTATCCATGATTTATGTCATTCCTACTTCTGACCTTAGTATCCATGATTCATGTCATTCCTACTTCTGACCTTGATATCCATGAAGTCTTATGTACATGAATTGCTACAGGTGATTGACCACCAACTGACGCCCAAACAGATCCTTGAGCACTTCGCGATGGCCCTGCCTGAACCACTCAAGGCCCAACTGTATCCAAAAACCCAAGAGAAGGTGGAAATTATGCGCATTTTACTAAATATGCGCTAGATCAGGCAGCATTCTTAGCGCAAGCTGCCTTCCACTACTATAGGACATCGAGAGAGGCAAGAAGTGGAAGGGCAAGACAATCTCTGGCAACATTCAGGTCGGAGATAAGCTTATAGTCACTTTGGTGCAGAGGGAAATACTCCTTGTGCAAGTTGACTACGAACATTTAGAATTTGAACAGTTTGAGGGAGGTTAAAGGGGGGCGACTATGCGACCGTGGCAGCCCCTGGGGGAGAGCGAGGAGGAGGCCGAGGAAGAGGAGGTCGAGATGGAAGAGGAGGAGGTTGGGGGAAGGCCTTCCAGAGGTTTGGAGGCCGAGGGGGCTTCCAAGGAGGCAGGGGCTATGGTGCCCCGCAAGGTGGTCAGGGACCCCCCTGCTTCACAAGGAGGAGGAGGGGGCCCTCTCCAACAATGGTGGTCTTGGGTTCAGGGGACTGCGTAGGTACCCACCGAATCCAAGGTGTGACGAAGTAGAGCCCTGGAAGGCCCTTAAGATGCCAGAGGCCTTGTGGACAAAGAAAAGGAATAAGGGCCTCTGCATCAAATGTGGTGATCCAAACCACATCATTCCCTTCTGCCCACAGATTAGGCAACCGCCAAAAGGGAATGGCCAGTGGGAGTGGAAGTTGCTCCTCCTAGGGCCTCAAACTTTGATAGACAGGTAGAGGCGCGCACTGAAGTAGACACCTCCTGTCTGAAGGCCCCAACGACAGAGGCTGATGTAGCCCCCCACTTAGTTGACTGTCCAGAGACCGCTTGAGTTAGGGTCCCTCTAGGTGGGTGCCTCGCAGGCACCTACGACGACCTGATCACTCGCTGCCAGGCCTGGGCTGAAATGAAGAAGAAGTCACAATGGCAATTAATATTTGCAGATGTAGAAGTTAGTCAGTAGGAATGGATAAAAGAAGTTGCATTTGGAATGAAAGTGCAAAAGTTGAGAGAGTATGTGATGAGCGGAGGGAGATGAGAGTTGACGAGTATGTTGAGGGGATTAAATCACTCATATTTCCGAGCCTGTTTTTGCCGACCCTGAATTTCACTACGCTTCGAGTTGTGCCGAGCCTGGGTCCCACTCCATTTTCTTTATGGTACTTTCAGCAAAAAAAAAAAAAAAAAAAAAAAGAATAAGAAGTTGCTGCCGTGAAACTCACAAAACAAGAAAACAAGAAAAAAGAAACAAAGCTCTGACCGTGATCGCAGTTGTATACATTCTTGGAAGTGGTAGTGTGAGTGTGCCCTCAATGAGGGCATCTCAGCCCCGTGGCCAGGTTGTCAGATTCCAAAAACACAACAAGAAAAAAAAAACAGAAACACGGATTCGACCGTGAAAATGGCTGGATACATTCCTCTAAGTGCCAGTGTGATCAAGGTTACAATCCTCTGAGGAAACACAGCTCTAGCAGATCACGAATTCAAATTGTCAGATTCCAGAAACAGAAAACAAGAATAAAAAATGGAAACACGGATTCAGGCTTGAAAATGGCTGGATACATTCCTCTAAGTGCCAGTGTGATCAGGGTTACAATCCGCCGAGGAAACACAGCTAGAGCAGATCACGGATTTCGCCCTGCCTCATTGGCAAGGGACTCGTAACAAACAAACGAGGAAAAAAAAACAAACAGTTTCAGAATGCGACCGTCTTTGCTGTAAGATGCATTCTGTAGAGGAAGATTGTGACCACAATCTCCTAGACTACCCTGTCCGACATCATTGCAGTATAGAAAGTTTTTTTGTTTTCCACTTTTCCTTTCATGCGCGGGCAAAAGAAAACTACGATTTATGGGACTAGCCGACCCTGGGTCCCACCCCCGAATTCTTCGGGTACAGGCTGAAAGTTGTAATTTCCCAACACTGGTAGAGGTTTTAGTGGTTTAACCGTTTAAGGCATATTTCCGGTTGGAGGTGGAGGATAAGAAGATAGAGAAAGTATTGCATTCTTCGACCCTTCTAGTGGAGGACAATCTACCTTTTGACATGTTGCTAGGGACAGACTGGGGAGAGGTCGCGGAGGCCAATGTGAAGATGGGCGAGCAAAAGTGTTGGGTGCCCAGTCCCCAAGGTGGGAAAAAGAAAACCATACTATTCCATGAGTCTGGAGTCAAGTCTACCCTTTCCTTATGTTGCGTGAGTGCTTCTCTACGTGGTCACGGAAGACATTGTTAACCAACTCTTTGTCGCATACGTTAGACATATGTTAGACCAGTTAGCGAGGATGGATAGGAGGAAGTAGTTTCGCCCCAAGTTCAGAACTTGTTGAAAGAATTCGCAGATGTGGGAGAGGGCCCAACCGGTGTAGTAGAGAGATAGATCAAGCATTGGATCGAGATTGAACCCGACAGCAAGACTCCAAAGGGTCCCATTTATAGGATGTCTCCCAGAGAATAAAGAGGAACTGAAGAAGTAGTTCAATTATGAAGGGTTAAGTGCTATTACTATCAAGAATGCGGAACTGCTACCTAGGATAGATGACTTGCTGGACAAGGTGCAAGGATGTAAGTATTTTTGGAAATAGATATGAAAAAAATCGGGCTACCATCAGACTGAGGTACAAATCGAAGATGAGCACAAAACAACCTTTAGAACCAGATACAACTACTATGAGTTTGTGGTATGCCTTTTGGGCTGACCAATGGCCCCTCCACGTTCCAAAGATGTATGAACGATGCATTTAGAGATTGGTTAGATGAGTTTGTTGTAGTCTACGTAGACGACATTATGATCTTCAGTAAGACCTTATAGGAGCATTAGGAGCACCTCTGATTGATCTTGAACAAACTTCGAGAACCTAAGTTCAGATTGACGCTTGTACATGAAAAATGTGCTTCCAACTTAAAAAACCTCCAATCCATTTATGATTTATATAACTTTGACATGTTTCTTTTGCCATTTTCTGAATTATTTGATTGTTTTGTGGATTAGTATTTACAAATAATATATGACCATTTGAACAAATTATAAGTGGGTCAAGCGCCCAGGTATGGACTTAGGCCATGTTGTGAAGTTAGACCAGAGAATGCAAAGATTGCAGCCACTAGAGATTGGCCGACCCGCATAGCTTGATTGAGTTGCAATTGTTCCTTGGTCGGGCCAACTACTACCAGAAGTCCGTTAGAAACTTCACGGGAAACATGGCACCGTTATGCAGACTTACACAAACAAGCTATTATGAAATGGGACAAGGACTGGACGTCCTCGTTCAAACTGCCACTACCCCCGCCATCCTAAATTAGGGGGGACCAGTAGCACGGGTCCATGAGGGCTACCGGTAGCAAAGTGGGGGGAACTGGCGGATTGACAAAATTGGGAAATGCGTCGGGATGAAATGATTTTTATTTTTATTTTTAAATGTTTTTCCTCGAAAGATGACGACGAAATCTGCGGACCCTCCAATTTTCAGACTTTTTTTAGGATTGTATTGGACGTGAAAAATCGTTGAAGTCGAGGTACTTTTCTCCCTGGCCGACACGCGATAGAGCGGCAAAAATGGAATATGGGACGAATTGGCGTGGCATTTATTTCACGGTCTTAAATATTTTTTTTTAATTTTAAATATTTTTTAGACATTTATTTCACGGTCTTAATTTTTTTTTTTAATTTTAAATATTTTTTAAAAATTTTAAATATTTTTGGTGGAAAGTCCACAACCAAATCTACAGGCCCTTCAATTTGCAGAGTTGCTGAGTCATCCTTCTGAGTGCAAAGAAATGCAGAAGTTGGGGTACTTTTCCTGTTGGCCCAAACGTGGTAGAGTGGCAAAAATGGAAAATGTGACGAAACGGCACAGCGTTATTTTTTTAATGTTTTTGATATTTTTCCTAGAAAGAGTGCAATCTAATCTACAAGATCTCGAATTTTCAGTTTTTTTCTTCAATTCTTCTGACTGCAAAAAATCGCCAAAGTTGGCGTTTGAAAATCCTTGGACTGGCCCGGCCCCCCTAAGAACCCGGTCCGGAAGGCCAGGAAAGCCGAATTTAGGCCGGCGGGGGGAGTGGTGGTTTAAGAAATTGAAGAAGTGGCTGATTGAATACCCGGTTCTCAAAATAGCTGATCCGTCACTTCCTTTCATTGTGACTACAGACACGAGTCCATACGACATTGGCACAGTCCTTCAACAAAACGATGGGAATGGGTATAGACCAGTTGAGTTTATGTCTCATAGACTGCCATCTGAGAAGGTTGCTGCGTCAACCTATTAGAGAGGGCTATTTGCATTGAAGGAAGCATTGGCGCATTGGAGACATTATCCGTGAGGAGGCTGAAAACTCAGTCCCGAATGTCCACCAAGTTAGCTAGATTGGCAATTGAGATCGATGAGTTCGACTTTGAGCTGAAACCGATTGAAGGCATGGACAATGTCGTTGCGGACACGCTTAGTGACGCATGGGCTTCTTTGGAGCTATAGTCACATACCTAGATACAGGTGCCGAGCTGCAACCGGCAATCAAGGAGGCGTCCACGGAAGAGAAAGTCTATAGTCATATTATAAATAGGGTACAGACTGCACCCGACGAGGAGCCGAACTATTGGATGGCCGATGGTCTACTGTTTGAGAAGACCGACAGGAATGATAGGCTATGTGTCCTAGACAACAAGGAGATACGAAGTCTAAAACTAGGAGAGTGTCATGGCTTAGAGAGCCATTAGGGGTGGAGAAAGACCTATGCTTAATAGGGCAGTGACTCTCTTCCAGTGTTCCCTGTGCACATTCATAAGCTTTTCTGCGGTGCGTCTACCTCTCGTCTTGTCTTCAAACTCTTGTACAATGCATCTAGGAAGATAGATACGGGAGTGATTCGAGAGTACTGTACAACGCCCCTCCCACACCCAGTCTGCTCCACGAGTGAACTCATGAAGCTAGCTGCCTTACATCCCAAGCACGAGACAACTAGCATCACCTGGCCATACATTCCCACCTTCTGGCCATAGACATAGCTCTTAATGGTCGCATCGCAGTGCATGAAGTTCTCCTCCTTTTTGCCTTTGTAGGTGTTGGGCATCTTCACTTTCATCTTGTCCCTGGACGCCTCCTGATCCTCATCTTTTGCTTTCCCTTTTCCTTTGCCCTTTTTGTCTCCTCCCTTATTCTTATCATCATCATCATCATGGGGGCCCACCATCTCCTCTTCCTTGTCTCGATGTTCCCATTGTTTGCTTTCTAGTCCTCTTGCAAAACTCTTATATTCCACAGGCATACTCTTCAGCCTTGTCGTGGATAGTCCGGTAAGTGGCAGTCACGAAGTTGTTCCACTTACCGGTAAATTCATCTTGCTTGGCAGCGAAGTTGTCAATAGACAATCAGAGGGCAGCGGTCTCGTTGGCGGCATGGAGGGCTACCTGCGTGAGGCGGGATATTTTGGG